CTTCTGATTTCTCTCAACATGGGGACAGGAGAGCTGTCAATCAATAAATTGTAAAAAAAAAAAAAAAAAGTAACTTGCGTTACTTATTTGAAAAAGTAACTCAGATATTCTCTTGTAAATTAAAAAGTAATGCGTTACTTTACTAGTTACTTGAAAAAAAGTAATCTGATTACGTAACTCACGTTACTTGTAATGCGTTACCCCCAACACTGCTGGCAAAAGGCCAGACTTTGTGAGAAAAAATACACTAATCTCTTACTAGCAATAGGGAAATAACCTAGTAACCATTACCCTTACACATTGTGTAACTGCAAAGACCCAATAAAACTCGCTAATCACACAACTTAAATCCCATTGTAATTTAAAATATTTCCATAGTTGGTTGACTTAATCCCTTTACATTTAAATTTGGTTGACAGTTGCAAAAATATTTCCTAGCACATTGGAATAGCTATCACAACATGTGATATGTTCTCTGACATTTTCATTATGAACAACCCAAGTTAAGTTAACAACCCCAGGCTGTTTGCATGTGGGTATATAGTTACTCCATACTAAACTACAGTCACCCAGCTTTATCGAAACCATAATATTTACCTTTCTTCTTCTTATAGAAAAATCACATGATGTTTCCTTGAACTCCCTTTCCCTAAATTTGTTTATTTATCTTTTATTAAACTGCTAATCACTTTCCTCTTTTATTAGTCATTTAAGATCAACTTTGGCGAGTGGTAGAGTAGAAAAGTTCAAGCTCTGGACCGTAAAATGAGCCAACAATATCTCTCTAAAGTTTCTTCATGTTCATCCTTCCTTTTTCATATTGCTCCTCCTAAAGCAGTTTTCAGGAAAATAAGATAATGACAGTTCAAATTAAGGTGTATTGCTGTGTTAAACGAAGCAAACATTAAGCAAAGCAATCATTTTGGAGAATTCACATGGTCATTCCCAGGTTGCAGTTACTTGTTTTAAAGTTTTGATTGAATACACCATAAAGAAAGTGGGTTAGATGCTGCAGGCTTTCTTAATACAACATATCTTTCAGGATATTCTGGCATCCAAGAGGCCCATGGCTTGTGCCTGGTCATGCTTGTCAAACCTCATGAGATGACTTTAAGCTTCTGGGCTCCCTGATTAATATAATTCCCATGAACACAGTCACTGTATTTGCTTATGACTGCTGTGTTGAACTATAAGACAATCACAGAAAAATTAGTCCGGGGGGTTGAGTGGTAAAGGTAAACATGTAATGGAAGTATGAATTTGCCTGTGTCCATAATGTTTTCATTTTTTGTGAAATGCTTTGCATTTGAACAGATGTCTGCTACAGTAGCTCTAAGAAACACATTATGTATTTAATTAAATGTCTAAGTTGCTCTTTTCTATTCAATGAAAGTAAACAGCAAGACAAAAAGCATCATCAAGATTTCAGAAGTGCTCCATACAACTTGTACACTACATTTCAAGTCATACAAGTATTTTGTGTGAAGAACAGACCAAAAGTTAAGTTATTATTCTCTGAAAATTGACAGCGGTGGTCACCAAACACTTACAGAAAAGAGCAGAATGCACATTATAACCCTATTATAAATATAAGTCTTGCACATTTTTAAGCACATGAGGGAATATATGATAACAGAGTTTCTGGATTAAATGTCCCTTTGAAATGCTTCAGTACCACTTGTTTTTTTGTTTTTTTTTTAGTTCTAATTGTTTGCCAATGCCACTTTTATCAAAGCAGCAAAGGTGTTTTCCTAATAGAAGAACAAGCTCTAGAAAGTTCTTCAAATCATTGCCTCAAAGGCAATCATTGATCAGCTTCATCTCAGCTGTGAAAAAAATCTGAACCTCCACCGATGATCTGCGGCTTTAGGTTTGCTCTCTCAGGCTATTTTGGGAAAACTCCTAAAATTTTGTTCAAGAGCACACTTCTGTTTGAAAGGAACTAACATA